CAGATTGTCCAATAACTCTTTTGGATTCATGCTGTCCACCTGTTTATCATATGGATGTAAGGATTCCGTCAGCAGTGCTAACGCTTTCTCTAAACAGTCCTTCTCTAAACTAGGCCTGAAGGTCAAAACCTTGACCTAAGGACCATATGGGACAGAAACTGTCATTTCATTGATTTGAATCCAGAAATACAGGTTGACCCATCCTGAGACTTTCTTTCTTGAAAATTCAAGTGAAAGAACACTCTCTTTTCTATTATCATTACTATTTTACAAATGTTTGATAATCAAAGTGTTTTAGTTCAAACCATTTTAGATGTTGTAGTGAACTAATCATTTTTTATTAACTGTGAAACAGTAATAATGATTTTTAATCCTCATGCAAAGTTAGAATTCATGTTAAGGTCTGTTACAGAGTAATTATGCATTTTCTGATTTTCTGTCTTTGAATGAGCAGGGTAAGTTGGTCCAAGGTTGGACTCAAACGCAGACAAGTGTTGGAACGAACTGTCTTGTTTTTACATCCTCTCAGACGTAAATAGAGAAGCTGGCACCTGTTGGCACCTGTTTTCCGCCAACTCGTCCAAACATTTCTCTCCCTGTCTCTAAAAACATTTTCAATCTGTTCCATAACATTCTTGCTGTTTTTCTGACTCCTAGTGACCTCTTACGTCACAAAACACACCCCTGTCTGGTCGATATTGACCAATCAGAAACTCCCAAATGAACCGGAAATAGAGCTCTTTAAAATGTCGGTACTTCCTAGTTTCCAACCGGTGTCGAGAGTCGTGTGGAGTTTCCAGTCGGGTCGAGAGTCGAGTTTGGAGTTGTTGCAGCTCCCGTGCTGTGAAACAGGAAGATCCTGACATGACCACAGAGCTCTTCCGAGTCTTATGGGATTATAACATCTTCCACCTCTGGGTGGAACTCTGACGGACTCCACTCATGGGAAGTCCACTCGTGAGGTGAACCTGTGTCGGACGGAATACCGTCACTACTTCGGACGATTCACAGCTGTTCCTACGGAGACGCTGA